CTTCTATGCAGAGTACATCATGAGAAACACTGGGCTGGCTGAAGCACAAGCTGGAATCAAGATTGCTGGGAGAAATATCAATAACCTCAGATATGCAGATGACACCACCCTTATGGTAGAAAGTGAAAAACTAAAGAACCTCTTGGTGAAAGTGAAAGAAGAGAGTGAAAAAGTTGGCTTAAAGCTCAACATTCAGAAAACTAAGATCAAGGCATCCAGTCCCATCACTTCATGGCAAATAGATGGGGAAACAATGGAAACAGTGACTGACTTTTTCTGGGGGGGCTCCAAAATCACTGCAGATTGTTACTGCAGCCATGAAATTAAAAGCCACTTGTTCCTTGGAAGAAAAGTTATAACCAACCTAGACAGCATATTAAAAAGCAGAGACATTACTTTGCCAACAAATGTCCATCTAGTCACAGCTATGGTTTTTCCAGTAGTCATGTATGGATGTGAGAGCTGGACTATAAAGAAAGCTGAGTCCCAAAGAATTGATGCTTTTGAACTGTGGTGCTGGAGAAGACCTTGAGAGTCCCTTGGATTGCAAGGAGATACAACCAGTCCATCCTAAAGGAAATCAGTCGTGAATATTCACTGGAAGGACTGATGCTGAAGCTGAAACCCCAATACTGTGGCCACCTGATTTGAAGAACTTACTCATTGAAAAGACCCTGATACTGGGAAAGATTGAAGACTAGAGGAGAAGGGGATGACAGAGGATGAGATGGTTGGGTGGCATTACCAACTCAATGGACATGAGTTTGAGTAAACTCTGGGAGTTGGTGATGGACAGGGAAGCCTGTCATGCTGCAGTCCATGGGGTCGCAAAGAGTTGGACACCACTGAGCAATTGAACTGATTGATAATATATAAATATACAAATGATTTTTGTAATGTGACCTTATATTTTGCAACTTTGCTAAATTTACTTATTAATTCAAGTAGCCTTTTGTATGGGGCTTCCCAGGTGGTGCTAGTGGTAAAGAGCCCACCTGCCAATGCAGGAGACAAGAGACACTGGTTCAATCCATGAATTGGGAAGATCCCCTGGAGGAGGGCACAGGAACCCACTCCAGTATTCTTGCTGGAGAATCCCATGGACAGAGGATCCTGATGGTCCATAGTGTTGCAAAAATCAGACACAACTGAAGTGACTTAGCACACATGCACAGCCTTTTATACTCTTTGGGATTTTCTACATGGATAATCATCCATCTAGAAATAGAGGTAACTTCATTTCTTCCGTTCTAATATGTATTCATTTTATTTATTTACATATTTATTTTCTTATGTACTTACTTCTTTATTTTTGCCTCATTGTACTGATGGGAACTCCAGTACAATGTTAAGTAGGAATGGTGAGAGAGGATATCCCTGCCTTGTTTCCAACTTTGGGAGAGAATATTCAACCTTTCCTCATTAGGTTAAGATGTTGTTATCTGTAGGTATTTTGTAGATGCCCTTTATTAGGCTAAGGAAGTTCCCTTCTATTCCTAATTTGCTGAGTTCATGAATTGGTGTTGAATTTTGTTAAATGCTCTTTCTGCATCTTTGGAGGTGATTATAAGGATTTTTTTCTTTCATCTCTTGATATGAAGGATTCCATTGACTTATGTTGAATTCTGTACCAGCCTTGAAATACTAAGATAAACAACTCTTAGTTATGATGCGTTATCCTTTTTGTGTATCGCTGGACTCATTTGACTGGTGGGTTCTTGGAATTATCAGTCTGGAGTTTTATTTTCTTGTAATATTTTTATTTTGTTTTGGTATCTGGTAATGCTTTTTCACATGAGTTGCTCAGCTGTTTAGGATGCTGGGGCTGATGAACACTGGGGGCAGTGCTCAGCCTTAAGTTGAAAACCAAGGGTGCACAGGACTTTGGGAGAAGTCAAGGAAACCCAGCGCAGGTGATACCAGCCTTGAGTTCTTACTGAGCTTTAGGAACTTTAGAATCTTCATCGCCTTGGGGAAACTTGCATGAGTCCGACAGGATCCTTTTGGCTCTTGAACCCCAGATATGGAAGCCAGAACACATGGGCTCAGACACCAAATCTCCAATCCTCTGTTCCCGATGACTTCAAGAATGTTTTTCACCAGAAAGCTGGTGACCTTACCAGAAAACCCAAGCTCTTGGTGAGTAGGAAAATATTCGCCAAGGTGCACATGGTTTCCCAGCCACATACTTCTTTCGTTTCAAAGGTATTTTCACTTGGATTTCTGAATTGAAATGTTGTCTACTAAGGAGTTTCAGGAGGGCTTGTGTAAGAGACTGGTAACATTGCATTCCTTTCTAGATCGTTTTTATCATAGTGGAATCTGTCTTCTAGGAAGCTTTTACTAGAAACTTGTTTCTATTTCTTGATTTTCTTTTTAATAATTATCTTTTGGTCTGAAGTACAGAGTTAAAAAAAAAAGAAAGAAACATTTTTATCCAGAAACCTGTGCAGAAAGATGGGCTTCTAAGTTTTATGGTAGCCTCTTTGTTGGACAGTGTTTATGAGTAAGGAGTAATTTTATTGTTTCTGGGCTTGACAGCAGTTCTGGGACCAGCAAGGAACTCTTTGTCCATATTACTCCCTGGTAGGATTTGACTCTGCTTACCAGGTGGGGTCGTCTCCAGGACTTTAAGGGTAAAATATTACTGATTCCTACAGAAGACATTTGGCAGATGCTGACAAGGGTGTTAGAAATTTTACCCTGCCTTGAAACATTCTGTTAAATAAAGGAGTTTGGGGGGTCATTAATTGTACAGTTGCTAGAATGAAAATGATTTATGTGGTGATATTGGGACTGAGTTCTTGGTTTTGGGGTCTGCTTTTCAAGTGGGTGAGTTCAAATGAAAAAACAATGAGTCTCATTCTAGAAAATACAGTATAGTGTTTTGCACAGAAGCTTCTTTGAAAGGGAGTTCTGGTTTAATTGCCAAAATGAAACACAGGAGGGCGCTGCCCAGAATCTCACAGGTGTTTGATTTGCTTGTTGTGATTTTTTAAATCCTGACTGGTAAGTATCTGGTCAGAAAGTAAATTTGCAGGCTTTCTAAAAAGGGAAATATATAAATAAATATGAGTTGAGAAGAATTCCCCCCCTATATTATGTAGGAATTTTTATATGAAAGTGGAAGTCACTCAGTTGTGTCTGACTCTTTGTGACCCCATGGACTGTAGCCTGCCAGGCTCCTCTGTCTGCGGAATTCTCCAGGCAGGAATACTGGAGTTGGTTGCCGTTCCCTTCTCCGGGGGATCTTCCCAGTCCAGAGATTGAACCCAGGTCTCTCCCATTGCCAGCAGATTCTTTACCATCTGAGCTACCATGGAAGCCCATTAAATGTTTGGGATTCACCACCAGTGGAGATTTCTGGCTATGGAGTTTTCTTTGTGTGAAGATTCTAACTACAAATTCAATTTCCTTAATAGATATGGAACTACTCAAAGTTTCTATGTATTCTGAAGTGAGTATCAGCAGTTTGTATCTTTTAAGAAAGTTGTTCATTTCATCTAAGTTGTTGAATTTATAACATAAAAGTTTTTATGATGTTCTCTAATTAACCATGAAGAGTCTGTAGTGATGTGCCATATTTCATCTCTAATATGAGTAATTTGCATCTTTTTTTCCTTCTTGATTAGTCTGGTATAAATTCATCAATTTTATTGATGCTTTCAAAGAAGCATCTTTAGATTTCATTGGTTATGGCTATTGTTTTTCTATTCTTCATTTCATTGATTTTACTCTCTATATCATCCTTCTACTTCCTTTAGGTTTTATTTGTTGTTTTTTTCCATAGTTTCTTAAGTTGGGAATCTTTACATCAGGGGTTGACAAACTACAGTTTCCAGGCCAAATCTGGTCTGCTGCCTGCTTTGTAAATTAGCTTTATTGGAACACAGCCATGCTCATTTATTTATGTTTTCTATAGCTGCTTGTGCACTACCATGGCAGAGTTGAAGTGTTGAGACAGAGACCACATGGCCCACAAAGACCTAAATATTTACTCTTTGACACTTTATAAGGCTGTTACTACTGCTTCAGATAACTGATTTGAGATCTTTCTTTTTTAATATAAATATTTTACTACTATATATTTCTCTTCAGTACTGCTTTATCTGCATCTCATAAATTTTCGTATGTTGTGTTTTCATTTTCTTTCAATTCAAAATATTTTCTAATTCCCCATGTCACTTTCCCTTTGACATGTGTTATTTAGAAATCTGTTGTACAATGTCCATATATCTGGGAATGTTCCAAATATCTTTCTGTTACTGATTCTTCTAGATTGACTCTATCATACTCTGTGAATATATTTTGTATGATCATTTGGTGAATCTTCCCTGTGCACTTGGAAAAAAAAGTACTTTGCTGGAGAGTTCTATTAAAGTTGATTGGATCAGTTGGTTGATAGTGTTATTCAGCTTTTCTATATTCTCACTGATTTTGTCAGTTACTTAAAGAGGAGTGTTGAAGGAACCAGCTACAGTTGTGTGGATTTATTTCTCCTTTCAATTTTATTAGCTTTTTTTTTGCCCAACCAGAGATTGAACTCAACTGGTGCCCTCAGCAGTGAAAGAGTCCTATCCACTGGACAACCAGGGAACTTCTGATATGCTAAATATTTTAATTAACCACGGTTTGCTTTCAAAATGTATTACATAACTTCACTTGAAGTATTGCAATTTGCTTCTTACCAAATTACAACAGCTCTCAAGAAAAATTATAATCTAAACTATTTTTCTCTGGGTTTATTACTCTGTTGATAAGATCACTTCATATTCTGTCCTTATTTTATCATCAAAATGTTTATAGTAAAACATGTATAAGTGCAATCAAAATGATAGGGAAATAAAAGGTAATTGTTGTTAGTAATGTTCATATGGGTCTTCCCTGGTGGCTCAGATGGTAAAGAATCTGCCTGTAATGCAGGAGATCCATGTTTGAATAGTCTTAAATGTCACCAACATGACGTACAAAAAAACTAATTGCTTGCCTTTTGTTTTCAGATATTGCAACTGTAGAAGAATGGTTAGTAAGAATCACTTTACAATATGGATTAAATATTTATACTACTGAAGGAACACTACTGGATACTGTTCGAGGTAAATGCCAGTAGGTAAAAGTAAAGGAAAAGTTGTATTATTCTTTCAACAAATTTTGTAAACTATAATATGCTATACTCTGTGCTAAGTGCTAGAGATAGTTAAGAGATAATCATGACTCCAAGGGCTCACAATCTGATGAGGCAACGATTTCAATATACATGGGTAATTTTTAATAAAGTTCTGCAAAGTGTGGTTGCCATGCCCACCTCCAGGGGATCTTCCCAACCCAGGCATTGAACCCACATCTCCCGCATTGCAGGCAGATTCTTTACCATCTAAGTCATCAGGGAAGCCCAAGAATACTCGAATGGATAGTTTATCTCTTCTCCAGGGGATCTTCCCAACCCAGGAATCAAACTGGGGTCTCATGCATTGCAGGCAGATTCTTTACCATCTGAGCTACCAGGGAAGCCAATCACAAAGAAGGGCAATGCCAAATAATGTTCAAACTACCACACAATTGTATTCATTTCACATGCTAGCAAAGTAATGCTCAAAATCCTTCAAGCTAGGCTTCAACACTATGTGAACTGAGAAGTTCCAGATGTACAAACTGGATTTAGAAAAGGCAGAGGAACCAGAGATCAAATTGCCAACATATATTGGATCATAGAAAAAGCTAGAGAATTCCAGAAAAAAACATCTACTTCTGCTTCATTGACTCTGCTAAAGCCTTTGACTGTGTATATTGTGACAAACTGTGGAAAATTCTTCAAGAGATAGGAATACCAGACCACCTTACCTGCCTCCTGAAAAATCTGTATGCAGGTCAAGAAGCAACAGTTAGAACCAGACATGGAACAACAGAGTGGTTCCAAATTGGGAAAAGAGTGTGTCAAGGCTGTATATTGTCACCCTGCTTATTTAACTTAAATGCAGAGTGCATCATGAGAAATGCCAGATTGGATGAATCACAAACTAGAATCAAGATTTCCAGGAGAAATATCCATAACCTCAGATATACAGATGACACCACCCTTAAGGCAGAAGGTGAAGAAGAACTAAAGAGCCTCTTGATGAAAGTGAAAGAGGAGAGTGAAAAAGTTGGTTTAAAGCTCAACATTCAGAAAACTAAGACCATGGCATCCTGTCCCATCACTTCATGGCAAATAGATGGGGAAACAGTGGAAACAGAGTGGCTGACTTTATTTTTTTGGGCTCCAAAATCACTGTAAATGGTTACTGCAGCCATGAAATTAAAAGATGCTTGCTCCTTGGAAGAAAAGCAATGACAAGCCTAGACAGCATATTAAAAAGCAGAGACACTACTTTGCCAACAAAGGTCCATCTAGTCAAAGCTATGGTTTTTCCAGTAGTCATGTATGGATGTGAGAGTTGGACTATAAAGAAAGCTGAGTGCCGAAGAATTAATGCTTTTGAACTGTGGTGTTGGAGAAGACTCTTGAGAGTCCCTTGGACTGCAAGGAGATCCAACCAGTCCATCCTAAAGGAAATCAGTCGTGAATATTATTGGAAGGACTGAAGCTGAAGCTGAAACTCCAATACTTTGGCCACCTGATGCAAAGAACTGACTCATTGGAAAAGACCCTGATGCTAGGAAAGATTGAAGGTAGGAGGAGAAGGGAATGACAGAGGATGAGATGGTTGGATGGCATCACAGACTCAATGGACATGAGTCTGAGTAGGCTCCGGGAGTTGGTGATGGACAGGGAGGCCTGGCGTGCTTCAATTCATGGGGTCTCAGAGAGTCTGACACGACTGAGCGACTGAACTGACTGATAGTGCTATTGTTGTTCAGTCACTAAGTCGTGTCTGACTCTTGGTGACTCTGTTGTACATAGGAAAAAACCTCAGTCCTGGATTTTTCCTCGTTTTCCTCACCTTCCCTTTTCATGTTTATTCTTTTGCTCCCACTTTGATACAGTGCTATGTAGAATGCAGAGTGACAGTGAAAGTCTTAGTTGCTCAATTGTGTCTGACTCTTTGTGACCCTGTGGACTATACCCACCAGGCTCCTCTGTCCATGGAATTCTCCAGGCAAGAATACTGGAGTGGGTTGCTATTTCCTACTCCAGGGGATCTTCTTGACCCAGGGATTGAACCCAGGTCTCCTGCATTGTAGGCAGATTCTTTACCCTCTGAGCCACCAGGGAAGCCCAGAGTAGAAATAAATAAATATTTTATCTTATGGAAAGAGTTACCTGGGTAGCTTTAAGAAAAGTAATGATGATTTGGGGCCAAGATGAAGCAGGAAGACCCTGAGCTCACCTCCTACCATAGGCACACCAAAATTACAACTATTTACAGAGTAACTATCTATGGAATGAACAGAAGACTAGCAGAAAAGATTTCCCACAAGTAAACATTTAAAGAAGGAACCACAACAAGATGAGCAGAAGCGGGGGTAGAGACACTGTAGAGCCAAAATGTAGGCAACCCACAAATGGGAGGATAATCACAGTTGCAGAGGCCTTCCCTAAGGAGCAAGGGGTCCAAACCCCACACTGGGCTCCAGAGACCAATGTACAGAGAAGACAAGCTCCCAGAACATCTGGCTTTGAAGCCCAGTGCAGCTCGTGTGTGGGAGAGCCAGAGGACTGGGAAACAGAGACTCTGCTCTTAAAGGACACACACCAAACTCACATGCTCCCAGTCCCAGTGCAGGGGCAGTAACCCAGAAAGAACCTGCCAGACCTACTTAAGCTATCATCAAACTTGAGAGATTATCAACTTTAAATAATCATGTATGAGCAAAGTGGTAATAAATACATACCTGTCAATAATTTCACTCTAAATGGACTAAATACTCCAATCAAAAGACAAGTGGCTGAATGGATTAAAAAAAAAAAAAAAAAGAATTAATATTGCTAAAATGACCATACCACCCAAAGCAATTTACAGATTCAATGCAATCACTGTCAAAATACCAATGGCATTCTTCACAGAACTAGAACAAATCATTTAGAAATTTGTAGGGAAACACAGAAGACCCTAAATAGCCAAAACAATCCTGAGAAAGAAGAGCAAAGCTAAAGGTATAGCACTCCTTGATTTTAAATTGTACTACAAAGCTATAGTAACTAAAACTCTGGTACTGGCACAAAAATCAGACACATAGATCAGTGGAATGGAAGAGAGCCCAAAAATGAACCCACACTTCTATGGTTAGTGAATCTATGACAAAGGAGGCAAGAAGTACAGTGCAGGGAAAGAAAACTTCTTCAGTAATTAGTTTTGGGAAAACTGGAAAGCTACAGGCAGAAGAATCAAACTGGACTACTTTCTCACACCATTTTCAAAAGTAATTCAAAAACAGGCTAAAGACTTAAATGTGAGAACTTGAACTATAAAACTCCTAGAGGAAAATGGAGGCAGTACACTCTCAGCTTACAAAATATTTATTTTGATCTTTCTCTTCACACAAAGGAAACAAACAACAAATGGGACTTCATCAAACTAAAAGGCTTTTGCAGGGTTAAGGAAATAATCAACAAAACGAAAAGGCCACCTACTGAGTGGGAGAGGATATATGCAAACAGTATATCAGATAAGAGGCTAACATCCAAAATATACAAAGAACCCATATAGAAACAACCTCATTTTTTAAATGGGCAGAAAAACTAAATAGACATTTTTCCATTGAAGACAGGCAGATGGCTGACACACACTTGAAAAGGTGCTCAGCATCACTAATCATCGGGGAATGCAAATCAAAAGCACAATGAGCTACTACCTCACCTGTCAGAACGACTGTTATCAAAAAGTCAACAAATAGCAAGTGTTGGTGAGGATGTGGAGAAAAGTACTCTTGTGCCCTGTCGGTGGGAATGTAAATTGGTGCAGCCACTGTAGAAAATTAAAAGTTCTTAAAGTTTCCAGTTACAGAAAGGAGATTCATCTGTTTGAGGAACTGAGAGGAAGCCAATGTTGTGGGAGCACAGTAGATGACAGAGTGGTGTGTAATGAGCTTAGACAGATGGGCAGAGGTCACAGTAAAGTGTGGATTTTATTCTTATCATAATGAAAAGCCACTGAAGTGTTTTAAGCAGGAGAGTGATACTGATTTATTCTTTTTAAAAGTATCACTTTGGCTGCCACGTAGAGAACTGACTCTTGAGGGCAGATGGCAAGAATGGAATGAAGGAAATTGGTGGGCAGCTGTTGCCACTTTCCACACAGGAGATGGTCTGGAGTACTTGGGATGAGCAGTGGAGACAGTCAGAAGTCACAGTGTTCAGGATCCAGTTTGAAAGTAGAGCTGATATGACCTCCAGGTGGAATGGGGATGAAGGAAACAGATATTAAGGATGAGTCCTAGATTTCTTACTTGAGCAATCAAGTAGATGACAGTATCATTTACTGAGATGCTGAAGATGTGGGGAGAAAACACTGGGAAGTGGCACTGAATTCAAAAGAGATGTTGAAAAGTATTATCTTTACTTCCTAATCTTTGATTCACAGCTCAGACCACTTCACTAAAATTGCTGTTAATCCCAGTCACCAGTCACCTTCACATCAGTCACTTTTCTCTCTCCTTTATAGCTTCTCACCAGTCAAGACTTTTAATCACTCCATTCCTAAAACACTTAAAATACAGCACATCAGTAAAGAGGCATTTTCAAGTCAATGGAGTCATGTTCCGGATGCAAGTTCAAATCTCCCTGCCCTCTGAGATATGGTCATTAATTGTCTGTACACACATGCTACAACCTGGAAAGTCAGCTGTCTTGCCCCAGATTTCTTGGAATTTCAGAATGAATTAATTTGGTTATAAATTGTGTCTCTTTTGCTTCTTGCTACACTATGTCAGCCTAGATGGGAACTTAGTTCCTTTTCTTACTTTGCCCAAACTGAAGTATATACTAAGTATATACTAAGTTTTTTGTTTTATAGCAGACTTTATTGAAAATTTGATGAGGAGATTCATGTTGCAGAAATGTAAACAGCTATGCAGTGACTGTATCTCTGTTCTTAAAAGTCCTTTGACTATTTTTGAAATTCAGACAGCAGTACTCTGTCAAACTGTCCTGGCTTAC